TCAGTGCAACATGTTTTAGGAAAAACTGGCGAATTGTGTTTAACAATTCCAAGACTTTAATTCTCAATTCTAAGAATAAAATATTAATAATTTTAACAACTTTTGTTAAATTTCCTTCTTCGTATGTTGGTGTACCAAAATAAAATCTTAGAAAACATAAAACAATTGGCACGCTTGAGAGCTCTTCTTCGTCGACTGCTTCAGGCGCCCTACCCGGAGCGAGCGGTGGAGTTGGTGCGCGCCGTGGTGGTGGCAGGCTGCAAGAAGGGCGCCAACGAGTCCCAGAAAGCCCTGCGCGCTTCCGCCGCGTTTCTGTTTGATTGCTGGAACATACACGTGAGCCACGTGTTAGAGCAGGGCCGTCAAATGAACTTCTCATCCGTGAGGCGCCTACGCGGCGTGGCGCGAGGCGAGGAGTTCCCAGAAGAGGGAAGCAGGGATCAGAAAATTTAAAGTGGAAGATGCGAATTCAGTCCAGCACACAGTTTGGAATTTCATAAAGATGATTGATTGTCAGTGATTCCGGGCGTAAACCAGTAAGGACATTAGTCCCGTAAGTGTGGTACATGTTTTTTACTCGGGAGATAGCGGTGGTCTTCCCTTGCGGTATGGCAAGATCCGGCGCCAACCTACCGACGGCTAGCGGGATTTTCCTCAACCAGGTATCTCCCACCAGTCGCAGGGCATCGCCTCAGCCGAGACAAACTCTGAACTCCAGACCGGTCTCCCGGCATGTGTGGTATTGTTGTGCATGTTAGTGTAAATGTGTGCAAGTAAGGAGTGAGGTTAAGACAAGGAAGAGGAAGGAAAGATAGCGCGTGGTCCGTGGCCCGTTTATTAGGGTACTGCTTCGGTATTCGCCGGGTGTTGGTCCGAGAAATCACGGAAAACTACCGATGAAAGCAGCCGGACGCTAGAGTTCTCCTCCAGACAGCGCCTGAATTCGACCTAGCTGACAAGCTTACGTCGAAAACCCTGCCTCCGCCGGGACTCGAACCTATGACCTCCCGATTAGAAGGAGTGCAGTGACATCAATTGATGCTAGAGAGAAACATTAAATTATAAAAAGTTCTAATATCAATTTACTGTTAAACCGAAATTCTAAAACTTTCAGTTATACAAAAGGTAAATGCATACTCAATCAATCATAAATGCATTGATTTATGCATTTAATGATTAATTGATTAGCCTTAAATCCAGCCCCCATGTCCACGCTTAAATCCAACTTTGTATACTGATCTCTCTCGCATCGTTTGTGGAAAAGTTTTTCAAGAGATCACACTCATGAAAAAAGTATTTTTACAATTCAAAAAATTGCAAACTTTTCAGATAAAACGAGAAAGTACGTAGTATTTTAGTGCCACTCGTTTAAAACTATTTTCTGTCGTTGAAACCGGGAGAGGTGACTCTCTGAACTGATGTCACTGCAGTGACTCTGGCCGGGAGGTTCTAGGTTCGAGTCCCGACAATGGCAAGATTTCCAACACTAGTTGGTCAGCCAGGACGAATTCAATCGGAGTCTGAAGGAGAATTCTAGAGTCAGGCTGCTCGGCAGTTTTCCGTCGTTTCTCCGATCAACACCAGGATAATGCCAGAACAGTACCCTAACAAAAAGGCCACGGACCGCGCGCGATCTTTCCTTCCTCTTCCTTGACCTCTTACACACACTTACACAAATATGCACTACATTACCAGGAGACTGGGTGGGAGCTTAGATCTTGTCCCGGGTGGAGCGGTGCCCCGCTGATAGGAGATATCTAGTTGAGGGAAAACCCTGCCAGCCGACGGTAGTTTGGCGTCGGATCTCGCCCTGCAGCGGGGGAAGGTAACCGCCACCTCCCAAGTAAATGGGACTACATGTAATTGGACCAATGTCCTCAGTACATTCTTGGCTATCCGGGATGAGCCGCGTCTCGGTCAATTGTACTGACGTTTCGGACATCTTGCTGTGGCCTTCTTCAGAGCTATCAGCAGTATAGCTCTGGAGAAGTCCACAGCAAGATGGCCGAAACGTCAATACATTTCTCGCGGCTCATCCCGGATAGCCAAGAATGCATTGACTCCGTTCGCGGAAGCCTACGAACCCATAATGTCGTTAGTAGTTGACGCGCCCGGAATCACTAACAAGCAGCCAACCTGTTGTGGAAACGCCTAGAAACTCACGTTGACGGCGATCTCCACCTCCTGGTTGAAGAGGCGCGTGAGGCCGCGCCAGTTGCGGCTGAGGATGCGCGTCAGCTCTTGTCGCGTGACCCGCGGCCGCTCCGACGTGCCATCGCCCTCCGAGGCCGCCGCTGTCGAGTTGCCCTACAACGCAACTCCACTTTAGCTCTTTATTCTTAAAAAATAACACTTAAAAAACACCTCCAGATCCCCGCAGGGGGGATCGTGGCTGCGTAGGTTGATACGATCTTTGGTGCAGAGTTGTAGACGACCACCCAAATCCTGAGTTTCATGGTTCAAACTCGCGTTGTTAGCTTGGCATTAAGAATCACTGGATGGATGGAGGTATTAAGAAGGCACATACTAAACCCCGTGAGCCGAGCTCGCCCTGTAACCCACCAGTTGGGTCAATGGCGCCTATACTGGAGTGGGCCAAGGGAGGTTCGCATGAACGTTCTGGATCCCATATAAAGAAGTCCAGAAGGGGAAGATGTACCCCCCCCTTTGGGTAGCGTAGGTCCTGACAAAACGTCGATATCCTCGAGGTGGAAGTAGTGAGGAGTCGGAAAGGGGGCCCCGAGCCGGCCGGACCTTAGTACGAGTTGTCCTCAGTTGGGCTCTCGGCTTCATCGTGGTAGTGGCCCGATACTCCGGGCAAAGCGAAGAGACTTGCTCTCGGCGCATTTGTGTAGAGCACTGCTTTGACTCCGGTACTAGCTTGGATAGATAGTAGCTCTGAACTGGCAGGGCGGCCCAATCCAGCCATCGATTGTGGAGGTTGTCTTGAGAGTCAACTGTGTTCCGGCGGGTAAACCAGCCTGTCGGTGTACTTGAGCGTCGGCGCGGTGGGGGGGGGGTGCGGATAAAGCCATGAAGCCAAAAGCGTCCACCCCGGAGACGTGTGCCACCTGGTAGAACATGAGTGAAGTGTGGAGTTGTATACCACAATCTCCAGAGAACTGGGCAGTTTAGTGGTCGTTTGCTAACCTGAGGAACCCGGGTTCAAATTATAGCTGATGATTTTACCCCGTCATGACTTATTCAAAGCGGCCTTAAGGACCACTCAGCCTTGTTTCATAATTGTTCCAATACTTACTGGATTTATTAACAGTAAATATTGGTTTGAATCATGATGCTTGCCTCGCCGACTTTACCCCACTTCTAGACATAAGATCAAGAAGAGAGTTATATTAATTGTGCAGAGGGCCGTGGAAGTGGGAAGTAACCGGAAAATGCTGAAGGAGAGTATTCCTAACATCCTTTAGCCTCAAAGTGAGTTAAACTTCCACTACTAAAAAGTAAAAGAGTAAATAAATAATTAAAAATATCGTCACGTTATGATTCCTCTCCCAAGAAACCTTATTACGTAAATGCCAACCATAATATGATATATGTATATCTTAAAGAATACAAATTCTGCAGGATTCCAATTGGTTTAATCGCAAATGCAAAATTGTACGATACTGTTGCATATGTTTATATTTTGTTACTTTGAAATAATCACAATTAAAGGCTGAAGGCTTATTTTATAAATCCTGCTTAGCTCCCATGCTCCATCACTACTACATCTCACCTGCACCAGAAAGCACTCTTCCCACTACGTAGCCGATAGTGCTTCGCGAAGGTCCCTCTTCCGTCCGCCATACAATTTGGACTACTAACCGTTTTGAGCATCTAACTTTCTTCTTCCGTCTTCCTCCTTTCAAAATAACGCATTGAAGGGGGGGAGGTCTCTTGCGCATCGTATCAGACTTCAGCCAAAGAGCTTCAGACATCTGTTCGCGTCACGATATTAGCGAGAATTTTTAATGCAACCAGATATCAAAATTATCACCTTGTTACAAGTTATTTAAACAGATAAACGAAGAATTTGTTTTAATATTGCATCTTTTACACCTTCTTGGTGTTATTTTTGGTTCGTTATCTTTGCAAATTATCACATGCAAAATGACAGCCAGCGACTGGTATGGCTATTCAAACGAAGTGCCCGCGCTGTGGTCACGTGGTTCGTGGCGCAAACTGATGTGCAGAACAACCAAAACTCGGTGCTCTGGAGTAACTCACCCATATTTTTCCACTATAAACCAATCAAATGTTAAAACCGTTTTCTTGAGCCCTGAAATACCTACCTCCACTCCTTTACTAACATCAGTAGGATTCAGAATAAATAATAGAAACGCGCGTTGTTGACAAAATCTGGTATCAGAAATATTCGCTCCCACGTAATAGAAACTATTTCGCATCGAAAAACGAGTTACATGTTTGATATAATAGTCCTGTCAACAAAATAATCAAACGTCCCGCTCTTCGCGCATGTAGTAAATCGAGGGCTCAAGAAAACGTGAGTCGGTAATACCACATTTGCCTAATTATGACCTACATATTTCATTATCTCTTGATTAGTTGTGTATTTAAAATTCAGTCAAATACGAAGTCAAAAAATGTTTTAGAAAGTTTCTCTTAGAGAAGGGCTTGAAATACAAATCTAGCGTAACAATTGAACGACTCTCTGTTTCGCGGAGTCACATCGTTTATTGCGTGGATATTCGTTTTAGCATGGGTGTTTGTTTTTGTCTTTCGATTTTGAGGAATGGCATCGTGTTCTGGTGGACTCGGGTGCGAGAAACGGCCAGGTTGGGAGTCGCTGTTGAAAGTTTCGAGGTCTACCCCAAAGAATGAGAGAAGAAAACATGCTTCCGATGTAATGTGACGATTCCGCTATTAAAAATAAAGCATTATTGTAATTGTATTCCGAATTTCCCTCTCACTGATCCTTCTATCATAAAACATATGTACTTCTATGAAACTTACAATAATTTGAAATCTTCGCGCCAGAAATGAACACTATTTACTCTTGGGACAAAGGATGGAATGTAGGTAAATTTAACTCCGTGGTGTATTCATTTGTCGGCGAACCATGCATTGATCAGGCATAGACATTGTGAGTTTGTTTTCAAGACCTGTTTGCTATCATAATACGAGTGATCTAAGAGTCGATGCTCGGGCATTTTGAAAGAATATATTTGTTGTTGTTACTGTTTGAAAGAATATAACAGTTGTTACTGTTAACATGACTCCTTTGTCTTGATATACAGGCAGAGATTTTCAGACAGAGAAGACGTCGATTCAGAAAGATGTGAAGCTTCATATAAAGGTAAGAAAAACTCATTTGCAATTAGTTGGTATGCAATTAAAAGTTAATGATGATGAATATTTTATTATATTCTGTAACAAACAGCTTGGAATGATAGATGTAATATATTCGGCAATAATATTATTTTTATTATGATGCCCAATGTAAGTGTAAGAAGACATTAGTGTTAATTCCTGAACTTATAGGTTTACGATGTGTTTTTAACATTACAGGTACAGTGATTCAAAGTCAGACATACAATCTGTTATGTTAGTAATTATTAAATTAAATTTAATTTTTATTAATTAATAATAGATAATAATTAGCTAATCAATAGTGTCATTGATTACTTCAATCAGGGATACAATCGGAGACAATTTGACATAGTCGAGACGTAGTTGAAATGAACTACCAAAAATGTTCGTGTAAGATGTGTTGATGAAGTTACTTACGATTGTGTTTTCGTCCACAATACCAGACTCCACAGTTCGCGCTATTTCATTGAACGTCCTCTGAATATCACGTCGAGTCTGAAAAATAAAGTTTCTTTTATCCTTCTTATCTAGGAAATACGTATCAAATTTATTCAATTAAAAGTTTTCTGAGAATATAAAAAGAGGAATATTTTTTTCCTGAAAATGAGCAACCAATGTACTAAAATCTCTATGCTAATCATGAGTACCATCATTTGATGCTGTTAGGCTAACTGCTCTCTAAATTAGCAGAGTTAATTAATTTCACATTTTGTTTTAA